GATGATTGTAACCACTCTAAGTTCATCTGCTTTGGGAAAGCTAGCGTGTCTCCAACATAATTGGAGATTTATTCTTCTGATTTCACAAATCCCAGAAAATATGCGTTGTAGTCCAAACGAGTCGTTCGTTGTAGTTTTTGAAAAGTGATTTCTGTTAAACAAAATATCTCCTTTTGAATTGGACTTTGAACTTTGTAACTTTGCAGATCTTTTTTATGCTCAAACAGCAACATTACAGACTAACTAAAGTTGAAAAAGCATAATAGGACCCCTTTAAAAGTTTGTATCTTATTATAATTATTTGGCTTCAAAATGACCAAGCATCATGTTCCTACCTCACCGTACATCTCAACAGCAGGCTTCCAAAGATGTTTCATGCCAAGCCCCTCACAGTCATAAATGATGGTGATTGATTCAATGTATTTGCCAAGCTGATGAAAAAGATCAACCAAAAACAATCAAAAAAAAAAACCTCATAATCATAGATCACTGCAGATGGGAAGCAGATTTGAATGTTCAAATAATAAAATATCACATTACACTCATTACGCTTTTTTAAAAATAGATTCCATTGAAGAAACATTTTTTGGGTTCTCCAAATAACCTTTCAGTGAACAGTACTTGTATGTATAACATGTATAACATTTTAATAATCTAAAGAACCTTTTCCACTATAAAGAACCTTTTGTGCAATGGAAAGTTTCCATGAATGTTTCTTGGAGCTTATTTTTTAGAGTGTTTTCTTAGTCATTTGGTCTTTATTTGACAGACTGTACCTTTTTAGACTGCTTCTCACACTCTTGTCGTAGAAGTTCAGCATCTCTGACTTTGGTCCTCAGGCAGTCTTGTTTGCTAGCCGACAGTAAAAGGCCCTTTGGATCAAGAGGGCCGATGATATTGTACCAGATAGGACTTCCTTCACGATCATAGCCACACATTCCACCTGCCACATAGCACTCAATGACCTGGACGGAGAAAAACAATATATGTGTGTTAGCAGGGCATTTATCATTTTGAGATCATGTTAAAATAGTTTGTTGAACTGTCCTGACATACCTCAGGTGGCTTCCAGTTGTCAATGATGGTGTCTACTTTCATATGCTTGCGAAACTCCAGATGCTGGAGTACAAAGATATGGTTTTAGACAGGATTTTGAGTTAGGATGTTTCTGTAATACAGATTCAGGTGTTTAAAATGTCTGTAAATTCATTTAAGATGTGATATTACCTTTCTAATCATTGCCTCAGCTTTTGGGACATTGAAGCTTCTAGCTGCAAACAAGAAATAAAATCAAACTTCAAATGTATAATCTGTACAGAAAAAATGGTGTAGAAATTACTTTGTAGTTATTTGTGACATTTACTAGAAATTTCTGAGTGAAAATCATTTCAAAGAAATGGCAAGTAGCACATTGAAATAAACAACATTTTGAGCTAGAAAGACTGGAATAGTTTATATGGTTTAATTTGGTTTCTTAGATGCATTATTCAAAGTGGCCTCCAAGGGCTGTATTACAGAAATATCCTCATATTGTAAAAAAAAAAAAATATATATATATATTTTTTAATTTATACTTAAAAACTACAACGAACGACTCGTTTGGACTAATCATTGCCTCAGCTTTTGGGACATTGAAGCTTCTAGCTGCAAACAAGAAATAAAATCAAACTTCAAATGTATAATCTGTACAGAAAAAATGGTGTAGAAATTACTTTGTAGTTATTTGTGACATTTACTAGAAATTTCTGAGTGAAAATCATTTCAAAGAAATGGCAAGTAGCACATTGAAATAAACAACATTTTGAGCTAGAAAGACTGGAATAGTTTATATGTGTGTGTGTGTGTGTGAAACATACTCCTTTAATCTTTGTTTTATTTACAAAATAATTTTCTGGTAAACTGCATTACTCTACAGTCTTGATTCTTTTATTTAAATGCAAAATAGAAAAATATGTAAAGCACATGCCAGATTAATATGCTGCTCTCTCCCAGATGAATCACAATTAAATGCTAAATGCAGATGAGGACTTTAAGGTATTATACTATAATGTAGTGTAAAGGGTGAGAGTAAATAATTCTGCAACGGTCAAAAATCACAGGTGAAGAGAGATAAATATTGGTGCATACTTTCAAAAGAAATCACCTTGAACTTCCCTCTCAAAAAGTAAAGTCAACACATGGTTTTGGGATTGTGGCAGGGGGGGCGTGGTTCAGCGAGGTCTGCATCGGGAGAGAGAGGCAGGAGACGAGCGGTGCGTAAGTGTGTCAAGTGCAAATGATAAACACCTGTGTCTTGTTTCAGTAATTGGTGTGGAGAGACCGGGTAAAAGGGGCCACCTGGAACATGAGGCTCCCTGGCCTGAATCGGGCGGTGGGGGTATGTGGCAGGGGGGGCGTGGTTCAGCGAGGTCTGCATCGGGAGAGAGAGGCAGGAGACGAGCGGTGCGTAAGTGGGTCAAGTGCAAATGATAAACACCTGTGTCTTGTTTCAGTAATTGGTGTGGAGAGACCGGATAAAAGGGGCCACCTGGAACATGATGAGAGAGAGACTGACTGGGAACGCGAGCGACGGGTGTAGATACACGGAAGCAAGTTGTGTTACGTTTGTTATGAGTTATTGACTGCGAGTCTGACAGCGCTGATTGAGCGCCGTATTGTGTGCGGTGCCCAAGAAATTTAAATAAAGCTCGCGTCCCAGCAAGCCGACCCTGCCTTCTTCCTTCCACACTCCTGAACCTTTACTACAGGGATGTTCTACCTCAACATACAATATTGATTTTTAGATAAAGCTGGTTAAGATGAAGCAATCAGACATGCAAAAACTAAATACATCTCAGAAATAACTTTTTTCTTTTTTTTTTTCATGGAAGAGTACTTGCATATATTGTCCTCCATATAATTGCAAGTGTTTTGTTGAAAGATAATTGTAGATCTGGCAGTCTGTTAATCAACACACAGGTTCATGGGGTCATAAGGTCACCCATAGGACATGACCATGCAGTCAGAGATAATTCAATGCCAAGAACTTTTGCAGGCTTCCACTACATTCATTCAAAAGTTAACCTGAAATCAAACTCCCAGAAAAGGACATTTTATGAGAACCATGTTGTTTCCCGCTACTCTGATGTTTGCATTATTACATTTTAAAATCCATCCTCACCTCTGAGCCACCGGAGCAGGTAATGGTCAGTTTGATTGGGCAGTTGATCCAACACATCTGCTATTTTCTCCCGAAACTATTCAAACAAATGACATTAAAATATATCAACAAATCTTCAACAGGAATATGGTTAACTCTGAAGATTTAATATAAGGATATACTGTACCGCCGTTCAAAATCTGGGGTCTTTATGTTTTTGAAAAAGGTCTCAACAAAGCTGCAGTTATTTGATCATACATATAGTAAAAACAGTGATATTGTGAATTATTATCATTTAATTTTCAGCATCATTACTCCAGTCTTCAGTGTCACATGATCCTTCAGAAATCATTCTAATGGTGATTTGCTGCTGAAGTAATATTATTATTATTATTAAAAGTGTTGAAAACAGTTGTGCTGCTTGCCACAATATTTTGTTGATTCTTTAATGAAGAGAACGTTCAAAAGAGCAGCATTTATTTGAAATGGAAATCTTCTGAAATCTTATAAATTTCTTTACGGTCACTTTTGATCAATTTAATGCATCCTTGCTGAATAAAAGTATTCATTTAAATAAATAAATACATAAACTTACTGATCCCAAGCTTTTGAACGGTGGTGTGTATCATATTTTATATTAAAATTGATATGTAAACAGTGGTGTGTCGTAAACGAAACTATGAGTGAGATTCAAAACATGTCAAAATATCCTGAAATTTAGAAATAAAAAAAATTTTTTTTTTGCATTTACTTGCCTGTGCTAAAGCCTTAGTTTGTTTGGGACTGAGGTCTCCTACTCGTCCGCTCATATTGCAGCATCGAGTTGTTGCGCTCGTGCAGATGATACTTATACCCAGTCACTCGCTGATGAAAAGACAAGGTACGCGTTGCTGAGGTAATGAATGAAACATATAGCGTCATTCTGAAACGATGCATGACAACAAATCCTTGATATTGTTCTGGAATCATTCACTTGGATAGTTGTTTACATCCGTGACATCCCCTACAGACGATTACACTTCTTTTTTTTTTTTGCACGATATTTAATTTATAAACATATATCTACAATTTGTCAGTACTGGTAAAAACACCAGCGAAATATTTCGATTTCGATTTATCATAACTTAAATTCCCGTTATATTAAGATTATATTTAAATATTTAACATGTGGACCAATAATAATCCTCCAACAAGTGACTGACATTTATATTATAATTAGTTTCAGAAGATAAGCCAATAACCGAGAAGGTGGGCGGGGTCAGATTAAAGCCTTCGAATTAATTTCAAAAAACAATTTTATCGGCAGATCCGGCATCGGCACCGACGTTGAGCTTTCTATGCAGCTAAATCAGGATAATATAAAGTAAATATAAAGTAAAATTAATTTTATTTCCAGTGTAAACACGAAGGCTTTCGTATCTATCTCGCATTTACAATAAATATCTTTACAATATTCCTATAAAATGGTAAGGAAATTTGTCAGTATCTGAAAAAGTTAAACTAGCAGAGCGATTGGCCGAGCAACGGTCGTTGTTGTTTTTTTTTTTCAGATGTATGAGCTTAATGTTATCAATATTATGATGATTAATTAACAAATTAAACGAGCAGGCAAAAATAAGACACGGTTTGACGTTGCAAATTGTCGTTACTTTGATTTACCGTTTTTTTTTTTCAGCGCGAGTGCATCTCCATTCATGTGGGTCAGGCGGGAGTTCAGATCGGTAACGCGTGCTGGGAGCTGTACTGTCTGGAGCACGGCATACAACCGGACGGGCACATGCCCACCGACCAGACCACCTCCGGCGGAGATCGGTCCTTCAACACCTTCTTCAGCGAGACCGGCGCCGGGAAACATGTACCCAGAGCTGTGTTCGTGGACCTCGAACCCACCGTCATTGGTCAGGATGCATTTACACTGCACTGCTTTTATAAAAATGTCGAAATACCATACTACTGTTAACGTTAGTTTAACTACTATAAATAATTATAAAAGTGTAAGAATCGTTTTCATATTTTTTGTATAAATGATGGCTAATATCAAGTTTTCTGCTGACATCATCAAGCCCTCTCATTTTTTATAAACCTTCCCCTCCTGGGGCGGACTTGGGGCCCTAAGCAAATTTCAGGTATGGGGCCCCAACACAATAACTATGTGCTCTTTCACGCCTAACCCTTATTTTGCTCGCTCTCTCATAGTTTATAGTTTATTTACCCCTTTACAACTCAAGTAAATAATTAGTCAACCTGACGCTGTTCTAAAGCCATATTAGGCTACCTTTTTATTATTTTTTCGGATTGCAAAAGAAGACATTAAAAAAATGCTTGCACTTGTCCATTTAATGAATTGTAACCTTCTTCAATCTTTTTACAAAAAGGATTTAAATGTCATAAAATTATCCCATGCAACTCGTTCCATATTCCAAGTGTTCTTAAGGCATACGGTAGGGTTTGCCGAGAAACTAATCGAAAATGTAATCTATTATTAAGCGAAAATCTCCAGTCATCGCATTCGTGCAATTGTATGAGTGCGCAGCAGTTTGGTGCGCATAGGAAAAGCACACAAGCGAGTCATTTTTAAGCATCAAGACAAATAAAATCATGACACGAAACACGATACTTTCTTCTCTGAGGTTAATATATTAGTTCTGAGACAGTCAGACAGGATTATACAGCCTAGTACGCAAAGAGCGCTCCCTCTATAATCATTAAAAGCTGTCATTCACTTCAGTTCACCGCAATCTCACGACGTTCCGTTAATCAATGAAGCTGTCTGCACTGCACAATGAATCTCTTAATTACATTGTATCTACACATTGTTATAATGTATAATGTATATAATAGTGTTTTGAGTGGTGAGTGAACATTTAATGCTCTCCAGAACACAAATACACAATGTTTCACCAATATCAGATGGGACCCTCTGATTCCCCTTGGCCCTAAGCAGCCGCTTACCTCGCTTATTGGTTAAGTCCGCCCCTGTTCCCCTCCAAAAATCTGTCAAATAGAGACCACTTTCACCATCCCAGTGTTACTTTAGTATCATTATCCCCTGCCCCTAATTGACTCTAAAGTGCGCTTTTGGTCCGATCTAGGTGCCCCTGGACTGCGATTTGTACTGAGGGGGGACCCACCCCCTTTTATGCACACTTTAAAGTTTTTTTCCCATTCAGATGAGGTTCGAACTGGAACATACAGACAGCTGTTTCACCCAGAGCAGCTGATAACTGGGAAAGAGGATGCCGCCAATAATTACGCCAGAGGCCATTATACCACTGGCAAGGAAATAGTAGACGTGGTAATTGACCGTGTTCGCAAACTGGTAAGACATTTTTCTCTATTTAGATATACAACTTTTATTACAATTACATTTTTATAGATGAATTAATAGTTTGTGTCTTTTGTTTTTAGTGTGACCAGTGCACTGGACTGCAAGGATTCCTCATCTTCCACAGCTTTGGCGGTGGAACTGGTTCAGGTTTTGCTTCACTGCTGATGGAGAAGCTGTCCGTTGACCATGGAAAGAAAGCCAAGCTTGAGTTTGCCGTTTACCCTGCACCTCAGGTACCATATTTTATTCAGTTCGCTTCACTTTAACGTCGCAATGAAATGGAAGTAGCAACAGTAGCAACATCATTGAGCGAACTATACATCACCAGAAAGAAGTTCGACGTTTCACCGGAAGATCGAATTATGATTAGTTTGATTAAAGATCACAAGGTCGAAAAAGCAAAAATGGAAACAAATCCAGGGATGAATCATTCACAATAAGATCAATAACAAAGCATTTTCATGTCAAAGCAACATCAATGACAAAGAATGGGTTGAATCATTTGGTCCGTTCACAACGGATGTGATTTTGTTTAACCCTTTGGTACATTTTTGCATTTTAAATTTTTACTTCATCGGAATGGTACAAAACTTGATGACTTTTTTCTCTGTTCAATGGATTTTAAGTACTTTTGCTCCATTATTAATTTAAATATTGCATTAATTCAAAAATAGTATCAAATGTGTTTTTTATAACTATTTATAATTAATTATAATAATTTATTTAAAACCGATGGATAACAATGTTAGTAGTAAACTTGACTACGTTGTGCTGCAGACATGAATGAAACCATGTAGAACACCTTTGCAACCACATAGCAGTGTCCTGGAAACCACTTGTAACACACTCAAGAACCACTTACTTTCAGTGTTGAAAAACATTACAAGTACAACAAACTGTTTTCTGTTGGATTTTTCTTGAGGTTTCCACCGCAGTGGTAGAGCCCTACAATTCTATTCTGACCACACACACCACCCTCGAGCACTCCGACTGCGCCTTCATGGTGGACAACGAGGCCATCTATGATATCTGCCGAAACAACCTGGACATAGAGCGGCCCACGTACACCAACCTCAACCGCCTCATTGGCCAGATCGTGTCATCGATCACCGCCTCTCTGCGCTTCGATGGAGCTCTCAACGTCGATCTGACGGAGTTCCAAACCAACCTGGTGCCGTACCCTCGCATCCACTTCCCCCTAGTCACGTATGCCCCGGTGATCTCCGCAGAGAAGGCGTACCACGAGCAGCTGTCCATCATGGAAATCACCAACGCCTGCTTTGAGCCAGCCAATCAGATGGTGAAGTGCGACCCTCGGCACGGGAAGTACATGGCTTGCTGTATGCTGTACCGTGGAGACGTGGTTCCAAAGGATGTCAATGCTGCCATTGGAAGCATAAAGACCAAGAGGACCATTCAGTTTGTTGACTGGTGTCCCACAGGGTTCAAGGTCAGCATGTGTCTTTTATTCTAACATGCGTAACTGTAAATGTGAAGTTGCGCATGTTGGAATAATGTTATAGTGGAATAATGTTATAACATAGCATACAATAGTAATGTTTGTAAATATTAGCATGTGTGAAAATATGTTAGGGCTGCACGATTAATCGAATGCGATTATCATGCGCATCTTGTCAGTAAAGCTGGTTCTGTAATCAGTAGTAAATCTCCATCACTTGCTTTGAGATGGAGCAGCATTTACTACACAGAGTTAATGCATGTACACCAACCTCAACCGCCTCATTGGGCAGATTGTGTCATCGATCACCGCCTCCCTGCGGTGTTATTTTAACAAGTACTATTAACAAGTTATTTTCACTCAAATAACTTGTTCTTGTTTTTTAAGAGTCATTGTTAAGCCTCGTACACACGGGGACGATTATCGCGCACGCTTATTGCCAGCGTTTTTCGAGACGTTTTTCGACACGTCTTGTGTGTTCATACCCAAGCGATTTTTGCTGGCGATGAGCCGAGTGAACGTGCAAATTCACTCCCTGACATTAGATGGCGCTTAATGAAAAACAGAAATACCCCGGTACACATCGAATCCTATATGATCTGCAATTCCTCTCCATAGCAACTCCCTCATATCAAGATTTTTGTAGTCGCTGTCGCGTTTGTCATAAAGCCCTTTGTGTTCAGACACCAATGAGACCAGCAGCTCTACATTCATCTTGCCTCGATGCACCTTCTTCGTCTACTTACTTCCTCTTCGTCGTTAGGTATCAATGTGTGCTCGGCAAGACCGTTTTGTGCTTGAGCGCCACCAAGTTGTGTTTTACTGTAACTTCAGCAGCTCCAGGCACGTGAACAAAAGCATCAATCTCATCAGTCGGCCAGTTTTTAACGCGGCGCGTCAAACCAAAAAAAACGAGCCCAAGGCGTTTTTTAAAAAATGATGCTTTTACGCCTGGTGTTTTGCACGTCGGTGTGCACACTTACATTGGCGGCCTTTGTTTAGTCACGAGGCGTTAAATGTCGCGATAATCGCACGCGATAATCGTCCCGGTGTGCACAAGCCTTTACTGATAGGAATTATTGTAGTTCACTGACAAGCTACGCAAAAAAACCGTGGACGATATAATCGTACGTAGTGTTGTAACGATATACCGGTATGACGGTTTATCACGGTTTGAACGTGCACGGTTATCATACCGTAAACATTTGCATATCTACGGTTTTTAAAAAAAATGAATGAAAAAAAATCTCACCTGCGCGGATCCAATTTGCAAAAAATGTGGACTCAAAGTGGCTGCAAAAGCAGGTAATACATCCAACATCTTCGCTCATATTTGCGGACACCATCCCTCCGTGCAGATAAAGGTGTGTCGCATTAATAACAAGTTATAAGTTAAGACCGTATGATATTTGCCAAAAATAAAAGGAGTTGTAAATTTTCATTTGATAACAATTTAAAACATGAATTAAAATGTTAAAGTGTGATATAGTATAAGGTGTACAGCTTTATTTTTTTGTTTTTTAAATAATTTGTTTGTATTTTTTTCAGAAGGGAGACTTCAATACTTTCATTAAAATGGTTTCAAGTTTGTTGTAATAAAGGATTTGTTCACTAAAATAACTTGTTCTTGTTCTTTTAAGAGTCATTGTTACTGATAAGAATTGTTTAATATATACCGTGATATTTTCTGAGACGATTATCATACCGTGAAAATCTCATACCGTTACAACCCTAATCGTACGATTATGAAATCGAAGAAATAGTTCAGGATAATGACAACTGTTTGCGTAGCTTGTCAGTGAACTACGGCTCTGTGAAGAAAATGCTGCTCCATCTGAAAGCACGTGAAAATACCACATTTAATAACATATTTTTACTCCAAACTCACTTCATAACGTCAGTCGAGTGTTTGAAATAAATCCTTCTGTGAGATGATGTGGCTTCTTACACAGAATAAGGCATGCAATATTTCATTGAATTCTAAGCAGTGATAAATAAAGTCTATGTCGATTAGCATTGCATTATTATATACTTTATCATAATGAAAATTATAAGACAAACTCGGATAAACCATATATTGTCGTAGTCGTGTGTTTATTAGTCACGTTGAATTAATGAAAGCAGTTAAATCTTCTGTTTATTCAGCTGCAGTGATAGGCATTTCCTGGGTTTCTTCTGCGAGGTGTATTTGGTCTTGACGCGCGCGAGCGCCCTCTGGCCTTCGGATGGAGATTTACTGCTGATCACAGAACAGTGCTTCACTGAAAGATATGCATGACAATCACAGCTTTTGCCTAATCGTGATTACGATTTCATTTCGATTTATCGTGCATCCCTAAAATATGTGTCCCTTAAATTGCTTTCCTTTTTAACATAATCAGGTTGGTATCAACTACCAGCCGCCGACTGTGGTTCCAGGAGGCGATCTGGCCAAAGTTCAAAGGGCAGTCTGTATGTTGAGCAACACCACAGCCATCGCTGAGGCCTGGGCCCGTCTGGATCACAAGTTTGATCTAATGTACGCAAAGAGAGCCTTCGTGCACTGGTACGTTGGAGAAGGTATGGAGGAGGGTGAGTTTGCGGAGGCCCGTGAAGATTTAGCCGCTCTCGAGAAAGATTATGAAGAGGTGGGAGTCGACACTCCCGAAGGAGACGGTGAAGAGGGAGAAGAATAAATGTGACTTTACTCTTAAAGTTTTGAATATAGCAATAAATATTGACATTTCACGTTTGTTAGTCTTTTAGGCGTTTATTAATCAGCATTTAAAAAATCTAGTCACCAATAGCCACTAATCAAACAGCTACAATGTACAGTACATTACATAAGGAGTGTTACAGGTTACCACACTACAGATAAAACAGTTCAAAAGGATTCTGCACCATTTATTGTCTTCAGAAACAGAAAGTTGTAGATGGCTTCGAAGATTTATCAAAGCACAGCGACGGTGTGAATAAATGCTTTCTTCATTAAACGTCACTTGTTTGTTCTGTAGCAAGGCACATTTGATTTCTTTTACCTGTACTGTACTTACATCAGTATACAGTAAGTGACTTTACTCTCTAACTTTACAGACTTGCATAATAACATCCTTCATATAAAACGTGCTCAAGAATGGTCACAACCCAGCATGACAGTTCTTACATCAAAGTACCTGCACTTCTCTGCAAAGACAAGATTTCATCAGAAATACAGTGCCAAAATAGATCACTTTACATATCGGAAATGTTGTAAACAGCATTCTAATTATATAATATTTATATTATATTTAATATAGTAGCTATTTAAGGATAGTTTTATTCAGTTTAGGATAATTAAACTGTTTACTAAAGTCTGATTAACACTAAGAAAGTCTTTCTATAACAGACTTTCTGTCAGGCTGGTCTGTTAATGCCACAGGAGTATTTAAACATTTCATGTTAGAATGAAATCAAAATGAAGTCCAACAAACCCACTATATTCAAAACCACTGAACAGAGCGCGCATGGAACAGGTGGAGTGCATCTTTGGTCAGTTTTTAACCCAGAAGTCCAAAATGCCAATATTGTCTGTTATCGTTACAGTGATATATAAAATATAAAAGGACACAGTAAAATTGTCTTACATGTGCATAAGGACCTATTTTCAAATCAGTCTCAATATCAGTTTCAGTTAAATTAGGATATTTACATGAGGAATGCAATACTCCCATTGTTTAGAAGTCACACTACTTTTCAGATTACAACTTTTGATTCTGAATCATAATCGTCTTAATGCATCTTACAGCATTTTATGTTATGCAAACAAACTGAAATTAATTCTTTGATAATCAACAGGCAGGTCCACAAGAAATCTTTAGATCTTTCTGCACTTTCTGTGTTGATTATGTGAGAAAAAAATTCATCCCAATATTTAATACATACAAGTGGCAGAGAGTGAGCAGAAATCTGCTGAACTTCTGAATTCTGTGGACACAGGTTCTGTGTGGACCTACAGAAACCCAAACCTGTTTGCGATCAAAGTGCATCTAAAGAAAAAGGGAGGAAAATGGCATTTCACGTTCTAGTGGAAAGGCTCAGGCAGAAGAACATCATTGCATTATAAAACCTGCTCGCGGTGGAAGACCAGCGCCGGGTCCTTGAGGGAGTGCTTGTGGGTATGGACATGAATATGATGGCACCGTGTTTGGCAGAGGAGCACCGATGCTCTGAAGGTTGTAAGGCATGGCTGATGGTTGAGATGTCGGTGCAGGTCTTACATGAGCTGGAGAACCATTAGCTAGCCTTTGGAAAGGTGCGGTGGAGTTATGGGTCTCCTGAGGTTGTGAGGGCTCATTAGAGGAACCCTGAGGAAGATGAACACCCTTCAGCACCATCTCCTGGAGCTTATCGATCTTCACACGCCTCAGATGTGCCAGCTTCCTCTTGCTCTGGTAATCATCAATGAAGCTGTCCAGAGGCAAGGATCCATCCAAGAATGAATCGGCCATGTTCTACGAAACACGTGGGAGAATCTTAGGACATTGTACATGGTGTAAAAATCAGTTATGAATTTCTGAAAACATGGACAATGTTGATACCTCTGTTTCTTCTTCGATCTTGGCTCCCTCGGTTTGCAAAAGAGCCAACAATGTGTCTAGTGAACTGTTTCCTGAAAAAAGATCCAGTTTAAAATACTTCAATATTTCATCAGTGGCATCCAGTTGTACTACATTAGCAGTTAGACTGTCACATTAATATTGCAATCTCTAATTGGACAGTTGTCTGAGAAATAGTTATTTTGCATTTTAAGTAATGCGTCTGCTCAAATAATAATGGGTCATGGAGGAACAGTTCACCCAAAAATGAAAATTAGCTGAAAATGTGCTCACCCTCAGACCATTCAAGAAGAACACGAGTTTGTAGATTTGGAGAAATGTAGCATTCCATCACTTGCTCACCAATGGATGCTCTGCAGTGAATGGGTGCCGTCAGAATGAGAGTCCAAACAGCTGATAAAAGCCTCACAAGTAATCCACACCACTCCAGTCCATCAGTTAATGTCTTGAAAAGCTGTGTTTTAAGAAACATATCCATCAAGATGTTTTTATCTTCAAACCATTGCTTCTGGCTAAAATACCAGTCCATACAAATAATAACACTTCCTCCAATGAAAAAGTCCTCTCACATCAAAATACATATGCTTAGAACTGATTTGGATTGTAAACAGTGCTTGATCTGTGCTCCTGATTCAGATGAGATGACTTTCACTGGAGAAATAAATCACATGGATAGAAGACAAGTATTTTAGCCAGAAGCAATGGTTTGAGGTTAAAAACATCTTGATGGATTTGTTTCTTACAAACATGCAGCTTTTCTCTTCACAAGACATTAATTGATGGACTAGAGTGGTGTGGATTATTGTGATGTTTCTATCAGCTGTTTGGACTCTCATTCTGACGGCACCCATTCACTGCAGAGGATCCATTGGTGAGCAAGTGATGGAATGCTACATTTCTCCAAATCTGTTCTGATGAAGAAACAAACTCATCTACATCTTGGATCGCCTGAGGGTGAGTACATTTTCTTGACTGAAGCAAATGATTCACGATTGAAAAATCCATGTTTTCAAGAAGTAGGATTTGTAATTGTTGCATCAAGAAAATGAGTGACTCGTTACACCCCTACTATGTAGCGTTTATTAGATGTGGTTAGTGAATTGAACAAACCTTGATTTAAAA